CATAGTTATGTATATAAGTCACATGTGCTTAAGTGCGAATGTGTTGTATCTGCACCACACCTGTATCTATATGTGCCACAACATGGCGTGGCAAACATGACCAACACGGCTATCGTGTACCGGCCGTTGCGTGCCCAATATCAACATCCTGCATATGTTCACCTTTTTTTTACATACATATATATACTATATATCTGTATAGTTACAAGCAGCCGAACATTTAAACATTGCCATTACCCATTTGCGTACAATACCAACAATGTGGCGCCTCCCTCTCAGCCAACGCACACATTAACACATTCAACGTGACGAAGCTTTTATGCCGTCAAATGCCACCATGATCCGTCATAGATGATTCATTCAGCGTGATCACAAGCTATGTGCTCATACAGAAGCTTTGAAGACCAATACAATATAGTATTTCAGAATTTCCACAAATTTTTTTTTAGATTAATTCTTAAAATGTCAGGTTATGTACATACTTAAGGTCCTTCAAAAATATTTTCTATTTTTTGTTCACTTTCCAAGCTTCCATATTCGTGATCCAAGGTTGGTGATATTCCCTTTGAATTCGAAGTTGGCGAAGTTGCTTGTAGTTAGAGTTTAACCTAGAAACATAAGGGAAAAAAGAAATGCTTTATTTGACAAACTTCGTTGTTCAACAATAGTAAATTTCAATTGTTTTGTCCGACTCCTCCATAGCACTTTCGCAAAACCTACGTCACACCAATTAAACYGAGGACCCATGGAATTAAAGTTCCGCTAACCTTTTGACAGTTCTTCAAACTCGTAGTTTTGTAAGCGTCAACCATATTGTTTTTAACGAAACTGCCACGCCATCGCCCTCTGAAAGAGCCAATTAGTAGGGATTTTTGACTTTCACCATAACCTACGACGCGTCAGACGGTTTTCACACAATTTTGACCCATCGGTTCAGCGAGATTATTTTCTTAAACGTAGCACTGCTGTAAAATTTTTACAGATTGTCCTATACTTCAGTTGTTTTTGTTTTATTCCAGACTTCTCTGCTCATAGCTCTCTTAAGTGCGTGTGATTTTTGTAATTTGACACTTTTCTCCAATTGATTGCCTCAAATCCGCTTGAGCTGCCACTCTTGGGGTGAGCACAAACGCGCTTACATATGTACGCATGTACATTCACACTGCCCGACTTTCTTTGCAGTACACCGACTTTCTACACACAACCGATCATTGCGCTGCTCGCCCCGAACACGCTGCCTTGTGTCAAACGCCTAACCCCCTGTTGGGTGTACAAATGTCACTTTGACACTTCAACGTGTGTGTTCGCGCGCACTCTCGCTGCCTCGTAGGAATCTCTCAGCTAAGGAGGCTGCCAAAGCAGTGGCGGCGTTTGTCACCAAATGTCACAGCGCAATAATCTCCGGCTGGGAAAAATCTCAAAATCGGGACACTTGAAGAGGAGCAAAGGTGGAGAAGAGTCGCACAGCATAAATAAGAATTGAGTCTCAAGTGGCGTGTTAAGCACCAATGCGATATTTTAATTTATTGCACTTGTTATTCTATTCACCCAATCAAGTGGCGGTACGCACTCYCGAAGAGTCCCTTTGTTGCTCTTTAATACAACATTTTGTTTTCCTGCGAGTAAGATAAACATTGGCGTTGTTGTTAATTRGAGAATGAAAATATGTCAGAAAGAAAGTGCCGAAACCCACTTGTGCGACTTTCTTTGACAGTTCGTAACTCGTGTTCCGGTGACAGTTGACAGTTGACAGTTGTCGGAGAACATTTGATATTTAGCACTGTCAAGTGGCGCGGCTTAAACAAAGTGTTACCCATTGATGGTAATTAATAAATTAAGTGCGCTTAGAATTTAGAATTTGTTAAGTTCGTTTAGTTTTCATTTCCAATGCGACTTTCTTTCAAATGAGCGGGGCAATAATGATAGGAGCAGGCATATTTATTTAACTGTAATGAGAATTCACATTTATGTTGACAAACAGAGAGCTAGCGGAACTGAAAACAACAACATTGAAGACCACACAACAACCAGCATCTTGTTTTGTGCAGAAAATCAAGCAATTCCTGTACATATGGACAGTGAAATTCCCCATCACGCACAGTCCCCATAGCCGAGCACCTGCTCGGAGAAATTTCACGAACACAGCATTTTTATTAATATTTTCAAATAAAACCCATGCCTATAACTGGACTTGAGAACGCTTCAACGACCGGTTATAGACACTATTTTAAATTATTATTTTTTTTTTTTTGTTTTTTCAAAAAGTTTTTTTTTTAATAATATAATATAAATATATATGTAAAATGGCCACAGTAAATAAATTGTCTTGTCTGCTTCGCGATGGCTTAACGGAAACCAAAGAAATAATTGTCTTCATTCACGAAGGGATGATATTGGCTTGCATTTGTTAGAAATAGAATAGAAATTTAATAGGAATATAGCTCTGAGTTGAAGCTTCTGACTCTAAGAATACGTTTTAAACACTCGTTTTTGCTTTTCGAAGCCCTCGCATATGGCTAAGGGAGCTAGTCGGACAAAAACACTGCGATAGGAATTTCACTATGCATACTCATTCAAAAATGTTTTGTAGTCAAAAAATAAATAGTTTTAGGAGTACAAGGTTAAAACTTAAAAATATTTCAGCAAAAGTTTTGTGCTTACTCATAGAAATTATCCAAAAAAATCAAAAAAAAAAATATAAATAAATTTATTAAAACCTTTATCAAATATCCGATAAGTAAAAGCAAAAATGTTGCACAAATGGCGACCTCCTTGAAAAAAATATACATGACAAGTTCAAGAGACKCAAATATTGACCGCACAACTATTCTGCTATATCATCTTTTGTCAATATTTTAAATATCATTTATGGTAAGGAAGGGCAATTACCTATGGCTARTTAATCACACAATTTTTCTCAAACTTTTTTCATAAACATATTTCTCTTGCATTACTTTTCTCCAAAAGTATGTCAAACACTATATGGAAATAAAAGTAATTACAAATAGCAAATTTATAATAATTTAAAATAGCAGCTTACTTGATAACCTAAGGATACTTTCAGACTATTATTTCATTATAACTGCAATTAAAATTTCTTTTCTACGGGTAACAAATTAAATTCCATATCAACGGAATAGTACTTGAGTGCACACAAATAAATACACATATTAACGCTTACATATTGACAACGTCAACAAAGGAGTCAATAGCAACATTTCAACAGCAATAATTGAATGCAAAAACAATTTGCCACGCACTAGCATAGCCATACAACACCCTTTACCCTCTTCTTTGCGAGCGACGTCAACGCCAGCGGCAGAAGCAGAAGCATTTAGCCAGGAATATAACAACAATCCTCATTATAGAGCAAAGCTCCTACAATGGCGATATTRGCCTCTGAACAAATATAACGTGCCACAAATTACGCTCAACTTAAACAGCGAGTGGCAATAACAACGATGTGTTACTGCATAGGAACATGTTGGRAATGTAATGAAACATTACACACTCAGATCTGCAACGAAATGAAAAATTTGAGTGAAATAGAGCGCCAAAGGTTTTGGGCTAGACGGATGAGTCGGAARGAAAGAGCGTTGAAATAATGTTCAAAGCCGCAACCGAAACGTTTACACTTCATAAATGCGACGATTTTTTGTTTTTCATTACGGAAAAAAAATTAAAAGAATTATACAATACACGCTCTCTCCACTCACAGTCGCACTCGCTGGCTGCTTGCTGCGAAACGAGTTGGTCGTTTGGAAAAAATATGTCTGCTGCAGTGCGGACGAATGAGAGGCCAACAATCGTTATAATGCSCCGACATTTTTAATTGTGAATGAATTATTACGAACAGGCAAGCAATCACCACCCGCTACACCACGCTCCCCCCTCACTGCAAATGCAACACAAAAATTCTGCGCCATTATTTCACGTAGCAGCAGCAGCGACACTGAAAACTCATCGCTCATTCGGCTGAACCGCAGAGAGCCAGCAATCAACGCATAATCATACGGCAATGTTGTGCATTTTAGATTCGCGAGACGGCTTCAATKGTTTGCGTTTTTTTTWTTTGTTGTTTTGTTGAACGGTACGGCCCACTCACGCGCCACCAACAACACTTGCCACTTCTGAGCGGCGCTCTCGGCCTTTTTGGCCGTGCTTTTKCGAAAAGGAATAAAACACGTGTTAAAATGTAGGATGAAAGTTCTACAACAGCAACAAATATTAGTGCCTAATCTACATATCTATAGAACGCGCTCGCTCTGACTTATGTGCAACGTAGAGCGGTGCATGTATCGAGCGCCACTCACATCAAACCATAGCTCGGATTTTTTCTACTCATTGCCTTGACGGGCATTTGTCGGTCTCTTGCTTCCAGCTGAAAGTAAACAACTTTAGAAGCAAACAAATTCGAATTGGATTTTGCTCAACTCTGAGCGAACTTTACTTATTCTCTTCTAGTTGACTCATTGTTGGTGTCACGCCTGCCTATGTTCCTGCAGCCACACCGCTCGCACCAACAGCCGATCACGCTAACTACCTACTCCTCAAACCAAGCAACAACTTTGTTGCTACACTACCACTTGCGTTGTTGTTGCGACTGTGAAATCTCCATCCTCCCTTGAGCACATACATTTTTCCTCTTTCAGCACATCTCTCAGTCCATTTTTGTAACCGCCGTACCGTTTTTTCTAACATTCGTATTGGCATTGCCCCTCAGCCAGTGCTGCATTGTTGTTGCCGCATTTTTTTCTCATTCCTACCGAAGAGTACGTGAGTTCGTAAGCATGTGTGTGCACGTGTGTGAGCGTGTGTAATTTTCTCAACCTACCAGATACATCGCTCATAGTGGTTTGCACAACGGCTGCCACCATTCGCCAGCAGCAACAACAACAACAACAGCGCACCGTGGCTGACGGCCTGTCTGAATACTGCTGGCGAGTTGTGCACCTTTCCTTGCCGCAACAAGCAGTCAGTTCGTCGTCGTTTGTCTTTCATTGTGCAYACACCCGTTTTCGTCGCTCCGTACATCGTGCATTCGCCGTCGCCGTTGACAAAGCGATTTTCAAGTGTTCTTCCTACCGCCTTCGTTTGCTTGTAGGATCATTGTATTTGTGTACTTAGCGATTAAGTAGTTGCGAAGAAAACCATCGCACGAGCAGTCGAACGTGTCTTAAAGTGTGAACTCAGGGATAGCGAGATATTGTTAAACGCAATCAAATAAAAGAACACATAGTGACACGACATTTGCCCAAACCGCAGTAAAAATTACAGCAAAACCAAGAAATATTCGCGAATTAAAGTGAAAAATATAATAATTCCTTAAAACTTAAAAATTTTTGTTCAAAAATGTGCTGATATTCTCAGAAACAAGTGCGTTCCGCCAGTGTTCATCACCGTTGGTATTTGAAACACTAACGAATATTATTGTATCACAAAAGAAAACTTCTGATCCGGCAGCCGCTTTGGGCGCTACGCTATCAAAATTAATTTTTCTCACACATCATACGCCCAGGCTGCCAAAATGCTAGTTGGCTCCCATCCATATCTCTGCAACGGCGTTTTGCCGCCAACAGTACCGAACGCGGCTGCTGCTGCTGCCGCYGCCGCTGCGGCTGCCGCGGCCGTGGCCAATTCGAATGCCAACAGTCCAAACCAGACTCAAACCACGGCGGCCAGTAAAAATGCCGCCGGTTCAGCGACCGACTTCTCAATAGCCGCGATAATGGCTAGAGAAGATGCCTCCAGCCGGGAGTCGTCCGTGCGCAGTGCAAGTAAGTAAAGTAGAATATTGAGATGATAAATAAGCTAAATGCATAAACAGCTTTATGGTGGTGTTATCGACAGTTAGACAAATCAAGAACTTCTAGGCACAATTCTATCATTAAATGTGCGGTAAGGTCCCCATTGAGTATTCTGAAAACATTATAAAATATCTGTTTGGATACAACTAAGTTCAATCTTGTATGTATTGAAGCATATTGCTTGGTGAAACTTTAGTTAATATTGTCAGGAGATGAGTGTCAGTACTAGTTCTGTGAATTGCCGACAGCTATTTGTTTTATGAATAGAAATCTATGTGTGACTTTTACAGACATATAGATAAGATAAAGATCAGTACACTTCACAAATTGTGAAAATATTATTGTTAACAATGCTTAAATTTTTAGCAGGACTTTCTTTAGAAAACCGAGCACTAAATCCGGCTCGAAAGACCAAATGAATAAAYTCACTGAAAAATCTTTAAACTCTTAACGATGGAATGCAAATATTCTCAGATCAATGAATATTTCTATTTTGCTTTGCGACGTATGGTCTATTATGTATGTCTTCCCCTTTGTCACAAAGGCACACATAGGCCCAGCACACTAATGTGTTCCAGTATAGTGCTGGGTGGGGGCTATTGAAGTGAGTTCGAACACTAACGAGACCAATTTTTTACCTCTTTCAAATGCATTAATGGCATAAAGTGCTTTCCAAAAAGTCTGYAACTTTTCTACAGTTTTCACGGTGGTAGATACTTCAGTTAAACACTCTTCTACTTTAAACATTCCGTTCGATCGCGCAATAGAAGTTTCCTCCTTAACTAGCTGCGAGAACGTATCTTCGTCAAAGTCTACCAAACATCATCAATGACTTCCTACACTTTTATTGAAACAGGAGCCTGAATGTCAATATTTATTTATTGCGTTGTGATAATTTTCCCCACAAGTGTATAAGGTTGAGCGCTCATTTAACCATTGGCATTAGAAATGTTGATTGGCAAAAACGCGTTTATTGAATTCAAGTGCTCATTTTACACGCTGCAAAGTGTTAATATCCGCCAGTCAATCACACATCCAAGCCAACAACAAAAAGCGGCTAGCCTACATGGTCAGTAGCACAGCAATTGCTGCAATTGAGTCGGTGCAGTGGCGCGCAGTTGCACATGTTTGCAGGCACCTTAGTTGGTGCCTATCAGCAGTGTTAGGTCTTGCAAATCAATGGCTAGCGAGATGATGCGGTCAAAACAGCAGACAAATGCTGGCGAGCAAAAATACGACAGTCAATTATATTTGCATCTCTGAAAGACTTTTGAAAATTTTCTATTAAAAATTTTCTCAACTTCTTCTTTGTTGTTTGTTATTAGTTTTGCTGCGGCGCTATAAACAACCAGCTGACAAAAGTCCATAATTATGCTAATGACCTCAGCAAACACATTTAATTTCAACAAGTTTTCTATCAGCGAATGATTTTTCCAGTGTGTGYGTGTGTATATATAATTTATTTTTTGCATATAGATTTAAACAAAAATATGAATATATTCTGTCTGTCGCTAAYGTTTGTGTTAATTTGTGGCATATGCTTGAAGGCGCTGAGCGCTTGAGTCGTAGGTGCCGGTTTCGGCATCGTTTTGTTTATATTTTTAATAAAATATGCATATTGTTGATGTGGTTCAAGTTATACATCTGTATATTAAGTGGCTGATTAGCTCAATAATTAATAATATTATAATTTATTCGAATTGCTCACAGACGGACTTGGCTAATTGCATCTCCCAAGCTCATTTAGCATTTTAACACCTTTTGATTAAAAGCTAAAATCATATAGGCAATAAATTTCAAATAGCAATAAGCAATAAATGTTCAGGAGGCAAAGGACTCAATTAATACAAAACGGAAACTTTCCAGTGATTAAAAATTGATTTAATATTTCTTYCCCTTCAAAATATAGCGAATTTTTTCATTACCTTCACTAATTTTTGAACATCTATAACTTTTTTTCTACTTCCTTTAATTTTTTTATTTTTATTTTTCTTTATTTATTCATTTTTGGTTATGAAATATGAAGCTTAAAATCTCAGCTTTCCACACTATATGGTATGATACAATATTATTAGTAGCACTGGCGATGTACTACTGTAACAACATCTATTGACAAAATACGAAAAGACCTTTTCGAGTACCCAATGTCTGTCTCTTATACACATCTAGATGTGTATAAGAGACAGCTATATGGTATGATACAATATTATTAGTAGCACTGGCGATGTACTACTGTAACAACATCTATTGACAAAATACGAAAAGACCTTTTCGAGTACCCAATGTTAAAAAGGTTGATATTGAAGACAGCTTTGGGTATGCAAACATAAAAAAGGGCAAAGAAATAAGGTTTCGTTATATAAAGTAATTACCCCTTTAGGTATACTATACATTAATTATTTGTTCGACTTAAATCTTCTGGTAATATTTCCAATTTTTCATATTTTTAGTTGAGTTTTGTAACTTAAACTTTTGTGTTGAGCTGTTTGATCGAAGAAAAAGAAAGCTATGTCGCCGTCTTCCTCTGACTATGACCACTCCTTTAAGCGACTATATATGTATGTACATAAGTAACTAGTCCGCTAATTATAGCTCTGACGGCGTCAGCTAACTCGGTTATCAAATGGTTTGAAAATCTGACAAGAACATTTTAATCTGATATTGGCTTATTTAACCATAATTTTACTAGCAGAAATTTAAACCTTTGTTTAAAATAGTAACTAATTTTTTCTAATTATAAAATAGTTATAAGTAAATAATTAAATTAGAAAAAAATAATT